CATTCTTCATTTCCCATATTTGGAACTGTCTTTTAAGTGATTTTCGTTCGAACATTCCACAGCCAGGACCAGCATCCTTACACCTTTGTAGGTCATGTCCCTAAATCCAAGATCATCTTGTTTTGCCTACTTCCTACTTTCTGACCTTCCCGTCTCTTCCAATATTCATTCTCTGTCTGATCCTGCAATGTTACAGGACCCCAGCTGGGTCCTCCCTCTGGCTTCCCCCATCCTCTGGGGTCGTCTCTGCTGTTGTTCTCTTGGCTTCGGGTGTCTGTGTGCTGTCAGGTGCTGAGTCACAAGCCAGGCTCCTCCCTTACTCTCGGCGATTACTGTACATCTCCGCCAGGGTCTTCTTGACTACAGGCATCTCATGCCAGTCTCTCAGTTTAGATCTGCCTCCCACTTCCCTCCCTCTTCTCTGTGTGCAGTCCTCCTCCTGTGCTTCTCTCAGCTGCCAGTGCCAGCACCCACACCCCTGCACAGGCCGGAGGCCCACCATAGTCCGCAGGTCTTCTGCCTTTCTGTCACATGAGTGCCCTTGCTCTGCAGCTGTCTTCAGTTCCGTCACTTCTGTCCTCTGCTGCAGGGGCCACCTGCCTTACCACCTCTGGAAGTTCTCTGTACTGTTTTGTTGTTTTGCCAAGGCAGTTTTGATCATGGTCTCCCGCTGTGTTCAGTATGGGGGTAGGGGGCCTTCATAGTTAGTTGCTAGCTAACGTTTGGTGTTCCCTAGAGCCTGTGTGATGACCACCACAGACCAGAGAAAACTCCACAGTAGGGGTTTAGTCTCTCCTTGACCCATAGACTTAAGAGGAAGTGCTGACAGCGAAGAGAGGGGATGCTGTCACATCTGTTCCTTGGATGGTAGCCACGTCTCCAGTCTCTGCCTTCAACATCAGACTCGAGCCTCCGGTCTGTAGCTGCCGTTAGTCTTTGGTTTAGGTCTTACTTTATATGTCCTCTTAGAGCTAACTATATCACCATGACCCTATTTATGAGCAGTTTCACATGCACGAGTCCTGATTCTGTTTTGTTTTCTTTTAGTTTATTTGTTTTATGTGGTTTTTTTTTTCTTTTTCCCTTATGTATGTTTGTATACCATACAAACCATGCCTGCTTCCCAGAAAAGTGTCAGATCCCCTGGAACTGGAGTTATAGTCATAAACCACCAAGTGAGAATCGAACCTGTGTCCTTTTTAACTACTAAGCCATCTTTCCAGCCATGGTTCTTGGACTTTAAAGGGATTCTATTCAGTCTGTCAACCATCCAGCCTCAACTCTTTTTCCTTCCTCACATGGACTTGTTATTTATGCTGCTATTTATGTCATTATGATATTTATGTTGGTGTTGTGTATGATGTTACCATGTTATTTATTCTGTTGGATGAGAACTCACCAGACAGATGGAAAGCTTCCAGGCAGAAGAAAGCAGATGCTCGAAGGGCCGCTGAGGAGGAGAAATGTGATCCTAGTTTAGCACAGTCATATTCCTATTTTTGTTTGCTCTTTCTTTTTATTAAGTTGCTTCACAGTGTAGTAAGCAGAAGGATCTGCCTCTTTTGTGAAGGTTCTGACCACTTTCTTTAGGGACTAATTCTGTTTTCTCTGTGCTAAGTGTGTACACTCTGTGGCTTCTCTGTGTTTTGATTTCTAATTGCTGGGCTATGTGACCTTTGGGGAGATGTTGCTACTTGAACCTGGGAAGTTGAGAGGTGTGTACCCTGTCACTTCCTGGCTCAGAACAGATGCTAGGAATGTTTCTGAGCCCACATCCCCTCTCCATTTAATCCTGTAAGACAAGTGACATATCCCTTGGGGGGGAGGGCGTGTTGTTCAGCTGCTTACATGGATCTTTGCCTTAGATGAAGAAAGAGACCATAGCAGGGGATTGTTCTGGGTTACCTTAGGCTCCTTCCACACAGAGGTCATGTGACCCCAACCTCTTCCATGAACAATACAAATCTGATCATAAGCAGGCTGAAAGTTGCAGGTGGAGTGGCCACTTGGTTCCCCGTGAGGGTCTCACTGTCTTGGGAAGAATGCAGTACCAACCAACCACCCGGGACATTGTGTCCAGGGGTACAGTCAGAGCTTTGAGTGATGCCCACCTCAGACCTAGTTCAGAGTAGGCAGCAAAGCTTCCCCTCATGCAGACACCTTGGTTCTCCATGTTCTAACTCTGGCAAAAAAAATTGTAAAGGCTGTAACTTAGCTAACACTTTTTAGATTCATATTTCAGTTGAACTGATTTGACTGCCATGTTGAAGACATGCAGAACAGTCCCTTTATTTTTGATGGACATGGGCGAGTGTAAGACTAGGAGAAAGCAACAGACAAAGCATTTCTACACATCCCCGCAGAGGCAACCAGGCTACAAGGATATTTAGGAAACTGCAAATGCTCTCTCTAAACATTCATTTTTCTAATTACAGTGTACCGTGCCCTGCTGCCCGGTGGGCTGCATGCCACACTCGTTGGGTCTGTTTGACAGATTGTATGCTTGTTACTTTAGGGGAACAGTCTAAGGTAAATGCTATTATTCAAATAACCCCCAAATGAGCATGGCCCATAAAAATGTCACAAGACCAAGTTAGAAATGGTTTCAGTGCCTATGGCTCCTGGAGAAAGTGCTTGACTGTCCCAGTGTTGGAAACAGCTTGGCTGCCAGGTTAATTTTCATAATAGACAGTAACTAGAATAGACAAGGATGGAATGATCACTGCTAACTGTACACTGACCCAGCAGTGCCCAACCTACAGTATGCCATTGTGTGCCAGCTCTTTGCAAATCAGGCTAACACTGAAGGACCTCATCCTGTGCGAACCCCAAAGTACATCCTCATGGAGGGTGCTACAGAATTTGGATCCATTTGGGTTTCCTTTTCTGTTTCTATTACATCAGGGATTCCAGGATGTTTGTGAATGGGTGATTGCCCAATTTCTCCTTAACTTCTGCTAGAGTTAGCAGCAAGGGCTTTGTCACCCAGTGAAGGCACATTCTGTCTGGATTAATGTGGCTTCCTCATCTCCACTTCAGAACTATATAGCTAAAAGACTATCCACTGGGCCCTGTCTCTGGGTTAATAATAGACAAGTACATGTATGGAAGACTTTTCCATATTTTGATAACTGTATCTGCACACCCATTTCCTTTGTGAACCCAATGTTTTACTTTAGGCATTTAGAAACAAACAAGCAAAACCAAGGCATTTTGACACAACCAAGGGAGCTATGAAGCCCCAACAGCTGCAGGGGTAATGTGTGCCTGGGGCCAGGTTTTAGAGAGGGAAGCAGGACAGCCATGGAAAATCTAGTGAGGTCGGAACCAGAGCCTGGAGGTTTTCCTTCACGGTTATGTGCCAGCTGACATGTATGTGGACAAGCTGGCAGGGCTCTGGGAATACCCATAGTGCCTTTGCAGCATCGCTCCCCTCCTGCAGCTACAGTACAGGCCTAGCACAGGTCCTGCATACTCTTAGATACGTTTAAGGAGAGGATGTGTGTCCAGTTAGGATGACCCTGGTGTCACTACAATGAACTGTGGAGCTGGAACAATGTAATATAATGCTGTGTAGAGCATGTCAAGTTGTGGCTTGGGGGTCATAGTCTAACTGGGTCACTTGCCAGCTTTGTGAGCTGGGGACAGAAACCACTCCAAGCTTCCTCTCCCCTATTCTGATAGGAGTTATTCTCACAGGCCTGTGGGTCATCAGAAGGACTAAGAGGAAGCTCTGTTGTTGGTTTTTCCCAGTGTTCTCCAGTGCTTATGACAGGCTGGGCATCAGTCTTGTTTAGCATCTTTTCCAGAGTGATCTAGTTTCATCTTCACGACACCTGTGTCACGTGACCACTTCAGAGAGGGAAACTGAGGGTCAGAGGCTCTATGTCCACTACTCCTGGTCCCTCGCCATAATTCTGTTACCGTGATGAGGCTTTGGTCTGTTCCAGCTATAAAGGTTTCTCCCTCCACATCCTGTGGGTTTTAATTGCTTACTCCAGCTGCTTTACAGGATAGTTACTGAACCACTAACTCCAGTTTCTCATAATGTTTCTTTGGCATTTTCCCAGATTCCAAAGATGGAAAAAAAGCAAAACAAAAACTTAGAGCTTTAAACCAGAACAAACAAAAGGAAAAACAACAGCAGCAAAGGTCACTGTGCCATTTACCTGTTCCTTAATTGTGGTTCTGTTAGGGGATCGTTCTAAGGAATGGGGGAGTGCATTTTCTTCTGCTGCTGCTTGATGGGGGAGGTCCTTCTGTGTATATGTTTGTCTTATTGGTTGATAAAGTACTGTTGGCCAGTAGGGAAGCAAGTTAGGCGAGACTAAGAGTTAAGGAGGATTCCGGGAAATGTAGTAAAGAGAAGTCTTGTGATCCGGGCAGGAAGTGACATAGCAGACAGACTCAGAATATAAGCAGGGACAAGCAGGAAGTTACTCTCTTCTTCCTCCTCTCTTCTCTGGCACTGCCATGTGAGCCCGACAAGAGAGGACACATGCCCCTGGTGTCCTTGATCGGATAAGTCTTTTTAAAATATATAGATTGGTAATTATGGTTGATAATTAAGCTAACAAGTAAGAAATCCTAGTCATTGGCCGGCAGCATTGGACCTAATATAAGTCTCTGTGTGTTACTTGGGACCTTAACGTGGAGGCAGGTGGAACTCAGGCGACTGGCAGAAAGATTTATCGTTACAGCTGCTCCTCTTCCTCCTTCTTTTATTCTTCCTCTCAGAAGGAAATACTGTTTGTAGTCACCAGTGACTTCAAATTAATGTCTATTGAATGAAAAGGGGTCACCTCTGGGTCAGATACGGAAACAAGCAGTAATCAACAGGCAGCAAGCTGGTGTCCATGAGTGACATGGGATTGCTCATGTGTCCCCGAAATGAGGACAAGAGCAGCTCCTGGCAGAGTGAGGACAGCTTCCAGGCAAGCCGATGATGGCTTCTTGCTGCTGTGAGGATGTGCTGACCATGCCTGGCTCTTGCTTTCCAGTTCTTCCCCTACATCCTGCTGCTGTTTGCCATACTCCTGTACCTGCCCACGCTGTTCTGGCGCTTCGCAGCAGCTCCGCATCTCTGCTCAGACCTGAAGTTTATCATGGAGGAACTTGACAAAGTCTACAACCGTGCCATCAAGGCTGCCAAGAGCGCTCGGGACTTGGACCTGAGAGACGGACCTGGACCGCCAGGAGTGAATGAGAATGTGGGGCAAAGGTAACAGCTCCAGAGGGCTGCCCATAGCCACCCTAGGATAAGTTCCCTGTCCTTTCTCCTGCCAGGCTGGCCCAGAGTGCTGATTGCCAAGAGTGGGAAGGGAATCTACTCTTGGGAAGGGAAGTAGGTAGGGTGTCTACCATCAACTTACAGTGGACAACTCCTCCCCCCACACACACTGTCCTCAGGTCAGTTTTCCTTTCCCTGTCCAGTCCCATCCTTTGAAAAGCAGTTCTCACAGGGATGACAGATCAAAGTCTGACCTGAAGCTTACTTGCTTTGATGTCCTCTAATGGAGAAGCACAGAGGATTCTGAGGCAGCCAAACAAATAAGCAGGATGAGAGAAAGAGAAGTGGCCCCAATAGGTGGAGGCCCTGCCTTGTCACATTCTTCCTCTGGCTCTGTCATTGCTAGTAATAACAGTAATAGCAATAGTTGTCTTATTGCTAAAACCACCTGCTGTATTCCGGTCATAGGGTTTCTATTGCTGTGATAAAACACCACAACCAAAAGCAACTTGAAGGGGAAAGGATTTATTTTGCTAACAGTTCAACATTGCAGTCCATTATTGAAAGAAATCAGGGCAGGAACTGAAGCAGGGCAGGAACTCAGACACAGGCCATGGGGGAGTGCTGCTTACTGGCTTGCTCTTAATGGGTGGCTCATCCTGCTTCCTTACAGCACCCAGGACTGCCAGTCCAGGGATGGCACTGCCCACAGTGACCTGGGCCCTCCCACATCAATCAACAATCAAGAAAATGCCCCACAGACTTGTCCGCATGCCCATCTGGTACGGGACCTTTTCTCAATTGAGGTTCCCTCTTGTAAAATTACTCTAGCTTCTGTCAAGTTGACATAAAACTACCCATCACAATTCCAGACTCTCGAGTGCAACATTATTCATTAACTGCATTGGTTTGCCTTTTTCTACCCTTTTATTTCTAGATAATAGATAAACACTGTCATGTAGTCTCCTGTGGGAGAGGAGAGCAAGGGACATGACGATGCCATTTGGGTCCACCGAGTTTTCCCAACCCTCCCTGGCAGAAGCATGTGTTCTAGTTGGTCTTAAAATTTCTTCACTTTATTCTGCATTTTTAGTGGGAGATTATGGTTTAAAAACAATTACTAGCTGCTATTCTAGATCGGATAAATTTATTTAACAGACATTGAACCCTGGGTACCAGGCATTGCCCTAAAAAATATTAAATATTAACTCATATTTAATCAACCAGATTGTCTTTAAAATATTAAAAGGGTTCTGGAAAGATGACTCAACAGTTAAGGGCACTTGCTGTTCTTGCAGAGGGCCTGAATTTGGTTCCCATCATCCACATGTTGACTTACAATTGTCTATAACTCCAGTTCCAGGCATAACACCCTCTTCTGGCTTCCAAGGGCACTGTACACATGCAGGCAAAGTACTCATATAAAACTTTAAATGTTTAAAATATCAAGAGGAAAAAGTGGTTTTAAGCATGGTTTTATTCCCTAGTACTTGAGTGAAGTTACAGTTACTGTGTTTGAAGTTTTCAGTGTGACAATGTTGAAAATGTCCATGCCTTTGACATTTGATGAGACAGACAAGGATCTCAGTTATTTCTTTGTTTGCTTTGTTTTTCAGTCTGTGGGAGATATCTGAAAGCCACTTCAAGTACCCAATTGTGGAGCAGTACTTGAAGACAAAGAAGAGCTCTAGTCATTTAATCATGAAATACATTAGCTGCCGGCTGGTGACATTTGCAGTCATACTGCTGGCATGTGTCTACTTGGGCTATTACTTCAGCCTCTCCTCACTATCAGACGAGTTTCTGTGCAGCATCAAATCGGGCGTCCTGAGAAATGACAGCACCATTCCCGATCGCTTCCAGTGCAAGCTCATTGCTGTCGGCATCTTCCAGCTGCTCAGCTTCATTAACCTCATGGTGTATGCTCTGCTGGTTCCTGTGGTCATCTACACACTGTTCGTCCCGTTCCGGCAGAAGACAGATGTTCTCAAAGTATATGAAATCCTGCCCACCTTCGATGTTCTACATTTCAAGTCTGAAGGCTACAACGACTTGAGCCTCTACAACCTCTTTCTGGAAGAGAACATAAGTGAGCTCAAATCATACAAGTGTCTTAAGGTGCTGGAGAACATTAAAAGCAATGGGCAGGGCATCGACCCCATGCTGCTCCTGACCAACCTAGGCATGATCAAGATGGACGTCATGGATGGGAAGACTCCCATGTGCTCAGAGATCAAGGGAGAGGACCAGGGCAGCCAGATGGTGGAGTTCAAAGGTACAGTTGGCTCTCTGGACAAGCACACCTTTGTAGCAATCCGGGCTTTCTTTACCTTGCTGGTCACTTGAACCATTGCCCCAGTGTTGTCCTGGGGGAAAACGTGGAAACAAATTACTGTTACCCTAAGTTTCAAAACAAGGATGAATCTGTGCTTCTCCCTCTGTCTGCCTCTCAGCCCTCTGGTTGGCCTGTTTGTGTTTTGTTTGCTGTGTCGTGCTCTGCCTGTTTTTGGTTCCCTTGTTGTCTTTGTCTTGTCTTCCTGTCTGTACCTCCTATCTCTTTGCCCTTCTCTACCTTTCCTTCTTTTCAGTATTGGTTATTTGTTCTTGACATTTCATACATATTTACAGTGTAACTTGATATCCATATCCAGCTTGCCCCCCCACCCCGCCCCTTATAGCTCCTTCCCACCTTCCTACCCCTTTGTTTTTGTTTATTTGTTTAACTTATTTTGTGACTCACTGAGCACTTCTCTAGAGGCGAAGGGATGTCGTGTTCAGAAGTCAGCAATTGTCCCCGTCCCCCTTGCTCTTAATTTTCTTTCCTCTTCATGGACATTCCTTGAACTTTGGTTTAGGGACTGGGGGGTTAGCAGAAGTGTCTCATTTAGGACTAAGCCCTGGACAGTCATTTCACTTGCTGTCAGAACTAACCAGCTGGGAGTCTGTGGTGATCGCTGCCCACTGCAGATGGAAGGTTCTCTGGCCAAGGCTGAGGGCCGCACTGATCTATGGGTAGGAACATAAATATTAAGAAGGGAGTTTGACAACATGTCCATCTAGCTTCTCTAAAACCTAGGACCTCCTGAGTCTTTGGACCACATTTACTGTGAATTCCTTCCTCAGGAGCAGGCCTCATATAACCCAGAGAGTGGCTGGTTACTCCCAAAGCCACCATTTGACTTCTGTCCTTGACCTAATATCAGACTTCAAACTAAGAAGCAGACATGGTAAAACAATGTATGTGAGCAGTCCTTCTCACAGTTAGTTGACGTCAGTGTTCCCTGCTAGTCCTCCTTTCTAAATAATGGTTTTAATTTTGGCAGATTTGGACCTGAGCAGTGACACTACAACAAACATTGGAGAGAAGAACTCTCGACAGAGACTTCTGAATTCATCATGCTAATGGTTTCATTCTTGACTTTCAAGTCCGTGACTTCTGCGGCTGAAGCACCCCTGTTGGGTCTGTAGCTAGTTTGCAGTAAATGTTTTTGGTAGTGATGTGATGTGTGTTTTACCAGGCCCTAATAGATATAATGGCCAATAGTGTAAAGGAAGAATGGATTAGGAATGTCCCATAAGACAAAATATGGAAATGAGTAAGTGGGCTTTGCCCGAAGTCCTCATTGAAAGGCTATTAAGAGCACAGCCTTCTAGCACTTCGGAGAAACACCGTTCTAGACTGTCAGGGTTGTAAGACCTGGAACTTCTGGAGAGCAAGCACTTTGGGGATGTCTTGTTTTATGAGATAATAATAAACATGTCAGGATTTAATTTAATAATGCCCTCTGTGTGCACTTACTGGCTGTTGAATAAGAAAAGCACTCGCTGGCCTACCAGCAGTGTTGGCCTGTGCATGGCAGCATCCTAAATTGGGTGTACCTGGTGTCTCAGCTCTTGCACTTGCAAACTCTCCTATCACTTGCCAGCCTCAGCTAACTGTTGTCCTTGACCACTGCTCCCTGCCCTTTGACCTCTGCAAGGACAGCAGGCTGAGGCAGTGCTGCTGAAGCCAGCTAAGGAGGCAGAGTTATAGTGCATCGGCTCGTGCCGTGGTGACTCTCAGAAGGAAGGCTTCAGAAACATCCCAGTGGGAAATCGAATTTAGAGGTTTTTGGTAGATGTCATCAAGACATCTGAGACAGGAGTACCACATTTTACTGAAGAACACTGACAGATCACAGGGAAGGACACTGCCCAATGTGAGCCGAACATGGAGCTGACAAAAGAGTGACCTTTGCCATGAGTTTGGAGACAGATTGTTTATATTTAAGCACAGCTTTTTAAATTTTGCAGATTAACTTGTATAATTGGGGTAATTTGAGAAGAACATTCCTAGCATTAATAAGAATTACAGAATAAATTATACACATGGGTGGTTAGGACTGATATAAGCATTGGTTTGTAAACAGTTTTTAATTTTTGTGACATGGTCTCGCTTTGTAACAAAGCTCAGCCTGTCCTTGGAATTGCGTCAGTTTTCCCCGATGAGCCTCCCAAGTGTCGGGATCACAGGTGTGAATCACAGGCCTGGCTTTATAAAACATTCTTGCTGATTTAGCATTTGTTAAAGCCCCTTCACGTTCTTACTGCGTGAACATGCTGTACGTTCACACTTTATATAAAAACTCTTTAGTCTGTAGACTTTCCCATTCTTAACACGTTGTTTAAATGAAAGTCCTCGGGAACTGCCCAGTTTGCTTTTAGCTAATCTTAGGGACAGTTGTTCACCTAATCTAATTGCTTTTTGGTGAAGCCAGAAGTTAGGTAAGTGGCTATCTGCCTTACCTAACGTAGAGAAAAGCAGATTTTGCTTGTACTTCCCTGGCAGTTTCTGAGTTGGAAAGCTCATATAAATACCAAGAGTGCACTGGGGCCTTTGAATGGCACTGTTCCATGATACTTCTTTCTGCTGAGTGTTGAGTTATGGTATGACTGAGACCTGGTAACTAAGAAACTGATTTTGTATATTTTTATATTGCTGTGTCGGAGACATTTTATTACAATTCGCTACAGTGTGTATGTATGGGTTGGAGTTTTTTTTGTTTTGTTTTTTGTTTTTTTACTTTGAAATGACCTTTAAAATATTTTTTTCTAGGATATGGATTTTATTTTCAAAAAGTGTCATCTTTCTTATAGCATAACTTATATTTTGAGGCAGTAAAAATTGATATTTTAGGAGATCAGAAACTCTCCAAGCCTGACCATATACAGACGTTTGGTCAGAATGTGTGCTTGGGGGCCTCAGCCTCTGTTTCAGTTCACTCTCCCATGCTCCCCTGAGCTGCAGTAGGACCCACGGCATCACACTTGGTGCTGGCTATGACATAGATGAACAAGCAGGTCCTGTATTGAGGTCATCAGAGCCCAGCGAAGACATAGGTGGAATACCCACAGTGAAGACCCTCCCAGAAAGTAGAAAACCCTCTGTGGTGTTGGGAGGAGCCCATTCTCTGCCCTGAGTTCATAGCTGGTGGTTTATGGTGTTTGGTGGTTTCCTGGAGACAGATGACCAGCTTCAGCCATAAATCTTCTCTAGGCTGAAGTTTAGATGGAGCAGCACCCTTGGTTTTGAGCAGTTGAACTGCAGCTGGCTTCTCTACTTCCAGGACATGGGGAGAAGCCTGTGGGGTACGTGGTGCTGCCGTGGGCTTTTTAGCTCCAGAGGGCTATTATACTGATGCAGAGCACTTTGGCTGGAGTTAACCCCTCCACCTGCTGGCTTACTGGCTTTGAGCACTTCTCTAGAGGCGGAGGGATGCTTTTGTAAGCACTTGTCCTTTTATTACAGACATAACAGGTCCTAAATGACCACTATGGGGCCACTGACCTTGTTTCCAGTCTTAGTGGACTACTGACGTTTCCAAACCAGATTCACACAGGTCATTCTGGAAGCAGTGTCCTGGCACATTCACCATTTTACTGGGGGCACGTAGAGCTCTGAAGTGTAGAGGCCCTCCAGCTCTGGGTGGGGCTATTTAAAGTTACAACAGACCCAAATCTTGTAGCTTGTGCTTGCCAAAGAGCAAGGCCCCCACTGAGCAGAGTGTGCCTTGGTCTTGAGAAAGCTGCTGCCTTCAGCCTGATACCGCTGTTATGTTCAGTTAATTTAGTGGTGTTTTCGTACTTCTGAGAGAATGCCTTTTTGTTACTCACCTTCATTTTCTAGAGTCAGACTGAAAGTCAGTCAGTGATGTGGGGAGTGTCCAGCATGGAGTGACCCGGCAACCAGCATTGATCTTTTCTCTGGAGTCATGAGGCTAGCACCTTCCAGTTCTCTTCCCTGTTGTGACTCTGGAGTGCAGGGAGGATGGGCACAACCTACACTTACAGAACATCGCCCTGCTTCACAGTAGCATTGTTGGGGGCTGGAAACCTGCACTTGTTTGGTGGGTCTGTTTTGCATGTATGTTTTAACATGTGTAAACACCTGTTAGGACATACTCATTCTCACCCAAGACCTAGCCCCTGTGGCTTTGTTCCTGTCAAAGACGGGTGGCTACACCTTTCACGATACACATGCTGCTTGGTTTAATTTACATGTGTCAGAGCAGCACAGGCAGATCTTCAAAGGTCCAAGTTTTGATTCAAGGCCATATCACCAACTCTTAAACCAGTGGCCGGGACACACCAGGCACTCTGTTGAGTGAGCAAGCAAGGGAAACAGTAGGGATCCTAGTTTGTTGGCATGAAGGATCTGACTTAAGAGGCCTGTGGTCCTCCACAGGAGAGTGGGAAGGCTCATTCCTGTGACTAGTAGGAGTGCGGCAGAGGCAGGCATAGCCTTTTCCTGGAAACACTGGTGCTTCTTAGCTTTTGGTGCAGAATGAGTCATGACCACTTTCCAAGTTCAGCTCAAGTTCATGGTTGTCTTGCAGTGACTAGGGAAATGGGGGTTTTAAAGATCCTGCTCTCAGAATAAACCTCTTAAAGGGGCCGAGACTTAAAATTAATGTTTTGTCTTGGGGCACTGAGATGAATGGCTGCTTTGGGATGATCCTTGGCATTTTGGCCTTATTTCTCACAAGAACAGCGAAACCTCTTTTAAAAGATTGACAAGGATGTGATTTTGTCAAATGTGGAATATAATAGGTGCTAATTTGTAGTTCATTTTCCTCCCGCATTAAATTAGACCTATTGTGTTTCTGGATCTCTTTAGCTGTGGAGTGCATTGTCACTGAAGCATGTAGTTTTTCATCAGTAATTGTTCTTAGGTTCCTGAAAGGTAAAAAGTTTCTTGTGTCTTGAGGTACTTTTTTCCTTGCTCACCCACAGGAGAAACTGTAGGATTCTGCAGTGTGACAAGCATCCCCCCCCCACCCCCAAAGACACAGCATTCAATACAGTGGTGTTCTGTTTATAATTTAAATTTCCCTTTTGGGGGGAGTGGGGTTGGTGGGGGGTTGTATTGTGTGGGGGAGGGAGTTGAAACAGGGTTTCTCTATATAGCCAGGCTACAGAATTTTGTTTTTTGATTTTTTTTTTTTTTTTAAGGAAGGTTTCTCTGTGTCGCCCTGGCTGTCCTGGAACTCACTCTGTAGACCAGGTTGGCCTTGAACTTAGAGATACATTTAGTTCTGTCTCCCTAGTGCTGGTATTAAACTGTGTGTGCCATTGTGCCTGGCTAAGTTACATTTCTAATGATTAAATTTCTCTGAAACCTTTCAAAATAAATTGCATGTTTTTTTCTGTGTCACTTGGTAAAAACACTGAGTCGATAAAGAGTGACTTTAAATGTTAAGTTCATCTTTAGTTTTGTTCCGAAAAGTCCAAAAGATGAGAACAAACGACGGTGTTACATGGGGAAGCCCAACCTACTGCTTTCATGGGCGGCACTTGGCCCCACTGTGCTGACATTCATCTAAGAGGGTGAAGAGCTCCCAGCCAAGGCTGTTGTGTCTGCAGACCACAGTGAATGGAGCTTTAGTTCTGTGCTATGTTTCCCCAAATAAACTTTTCTATGTAACAGAGAGAGCCATGCCCTTTCCTGCCTTCTTCAGGAGTCGCTCCACTGAGGATGGAGCAAGAAGATGGGTCTGAAATGCCGCCAGGTCCGGCCCCATCTAGTGATGTGTGATGGTCAGGAGTCTCTGCAATACTTGCTAAAATCCAGCTGGCAGTAAGTGAAGGCAGTCCTTGATGAAAGGCTCCAAGACTGGGAGTGTAAATCGTACTGTCTGGTCAACAGTTGCGTGTAGATGGCCATGAGCTGGCCTGCTCACCTCTGCTCAGGAGAACATTTCTACAATAGAAAGTAACACACTTAGGAGGTTTAACAAACCACAGGCATGAACAATCTTAGCAGAGTTCATAGCATGTATTAAGCACTCTATAAATGCTTCTGGGTCCCCAGCTGTCCCCCAGCAATCTGTATGTTGCATTCATTTACTATTGCCCCATTACAAATAACTGCATACTTAACAGCTCAGAGCACCCATTGCTTACCTTGCAGCTTTCTGTACCAGGAGTTTGGACAGAGCCACTCAGGGTCCCACATGGTGCAATCAATATGAGGATGACAGGCGGTGTTCCCTGGAGGCTGAGCTGGAGAAACTGCTGACTACAACCTAGCCAGCTCTACCACCTGCTCATCTCTTCAGGCTTTTGGCCTGGGCTGGCCTATCTGAAGTAGCCATATGCACCATCCCTTAATGGCCTTCCAGCCTTGGGTACTTTGCTGTTGTCTCCTTTCCATCAAACAATCAGCTCTAAAATGCCCTGCAGGAAGGTCCCCTGTTTCCACTTAACCCTCCTATGCTAGCACCTGTCCCTCTCACTATTGTGAGATGCCCATGAGGCAGGTTGGTTCTCTGAACTTCCATCACCTAGTTCATTACCCAGATACAAGGATTGCTCACCCCAACTCTGAATTCCAGATTGCTGGGCGCGGAGGGGAGCACGGATCAGAAGTGAACTGTTCTACTACACATCTGTTTTGCCTAACTTAAAGCAGCCAGGTACATGCCCCTGGTTCCCCCACATTAGTAACCGAGAACCTGACCCAGAGCCTTTCCTTAACAGTAGTGTCTCCCGTTCACACTAGTGTAGCCATCAAATTTTCAAAGAGCTCCAATATCCCACATTATTATATTAGAGTGCAGCTGTCTCAGTGATGAAAAGTACCCTGCAGGGAACAAAGGGTTTGTTTGGGCTATGGTTTCAGAGGGATCGAGTCCATTGTGTTGGGGAAGTCATGGCAACAGGCAGGAGAGGTATGGTGGCAAAAGAAGGAGCCCATCTGACCACATTCCCTCTGCAGATGGGAAACAGAGTTGGTAGTGAGGCGAGGATCTAAAACCTCAGAACAACCCTATTGTACTTCCTTCAGCAAAGATCCTCTTCCTAAAAGTTACATAAACTCTCTCAACAGCGCCACTGGCTGGGTACCAAATGTTCAAAAATGCTAGCTTGTGGGGGCCAGTTCTCTTCAAACCCCAGCATGCACATCGTCATCAGTTGGCAGTGCTGATGCTGATACAGTAAGAAAGGGGCACCTGTTCTCAGTATGTATCCATCCACTAAAGAGGTTTATTCTGTGACAGCCCCTCCTATAAACCAAGGATCCAGCAGGAAAGGAAGGAGATGCTGGGCTGACTGGGCCCCACAGCTCTGGGCTCTTCCAGATGAAACTGAGTTATAGCAGTTAAACTGTAGAATTGATAAATACTGACATTCTTTTTCTTATGGCCTCAAATAACACCGGTGTTCTGGCAGCCTCTTCATGAGCACAGAGCAGAGGTAGTGCTCCTTTGTGTTCTAGCAGAGATGGGGCAGGTGGGCCCCTCAGGGGAGGGAGGGGGGCAGGCCTGACAGTGAATGGCAGTCAAAACATCCCTTTCAAGAGAGCCAGTTTCTAAAGTTCCTATGTGTCTTTTCTCAGAACACACACACACACACACACACACACACACACACACACACACACACACACACACACACACGAAAAACAAAAGGAACTAAATTGCTGTCAAAATCCCTTCCAAACTCCCAGAAATGAAATCTGCATTACCTCTAAGTGAAGATCGTCGTATAGAACGCAAGCTTCCATGGAAACTTCAGGAACATAAAAGGAAATGTTCTGACGGTAATTTCAGAGGTAAGGACACTCGGAGATTTTAGCATTCCTCTCATTTGTTCTGAATATGAGAAGTGCCTGTTACAAAGGAAATGTCTCTAAGTACAGAGACCCTTGAGGCTCTTCACCATCATCTAAGCACTTTACAAATGCCATCTCCTTGAGAGGAGAAGTTTCATTTTAGAAAAAAGAAATTGCCCAGAACTCTGGCTGTTGCAAGACGAAACAGGAGGAAAAAAAAAAGAAAGAAAAAACAGAGTAATAAATGCTGAGGTGTTTTACATCTTTTGTACGGAAATTTTTTAAGTTCAACATAGATTTAGGCTTGCAGTGCATCTTGTTTGAGACTGGCCTCATTCAAAGTGCTCAGCAGCCCCGTGTGAGTGGAGGCCACTATGTTGACAGAGCATGTCAAAATAGATGGTGCTGTGTTCCCGCCTAGTGATGCCACTGTGTTTTTCTCCTTTTTGAAAGATCTGTCCCTGTGCATAGATTTAACGGAGGCATGTCACCTTGAAACCTGACAAGTCTCTGGGGATTTACACATGCTTACGGTGAGATGCTCGTTAAATGCCTCTTGCCTTTGACACATGTTAACCTACAGTAGGAACTTATAAAGAGCTGTAGTGACTGTGGCAACCCCTTCACTATTTGCCCCGAGGGTTTATTGTTTTGTTTGTGTGCATGCTTTTCTCCTCCTCTAATAGGCTGTAAGTGCTGTTAAATCTTGTTGCCTTCATCACCTTTGACCATTAAAGCATAACGAGACAGGCGTTGGTGGCACACGCCTTTAATCCCAGCACTCAGGAGGCAGAGGCAGGTGAATCTCTGTGAGTTCAAGACCAGCCTGGTCTACAAGAGCTAGTTCCAGGACAGCCTCCAAAGCCACAGAGAAACCCTGTCTCGAAAAACCAAAAAAAAAAAAAAAAAAAAAAAAAAAAGCATGATAACGCAATAATTATCCAGGGCCTCTGCAATGGGTTTGGAAGCCTTGGAAATGGGATTTTGCAGTGAAGTATTGAGCCCAATCCCAAATACAATATAGTTAAGAGAGTTAGATGCCCAAGAAGTGGGGTAGACTCAGGAGTGGGAACGAGGGAAACAAGAAGGGTCCTGGCTTACTAGGGGTGTGTGTGGGCGAGGGGGGGGGGGTGGTCAGACACTCCTGGCCAGAGGCAGATGTGGGGCCTTGATCAGGTACCATGGAGGGTTCTTGCTAAAAGTGGATGTGGATTTGATAACGTTCACTAAAGGGCCTTAGGGGAAGGATCAGCAGGCTGAGTGGCCAAGGGAAAAAATCAAAGCTTTTACCACTGAAGGCAAGCCACAGTGCCAGTCATTCTCCTTTAACGGGAGCCTGGGTGGAAGTGGTGCAGAGGCAGTAAGAGCACATGAGGTAGAATAAGGTAAAATGATCAATTAGTAGATGCTGATTTGATGATTTATTTAGTGGTTTACTCAAAGCACTGCTTGTACTGCCTATTTGCCAAGCATTATTTCACTTGCTACCCGAAACAGAAAGACCTGGAGAATTAGCTGAAACAACCTGCTTAGCTTTAACAACCTGCTGGCTGCCCACCTTGAGGTTTTGGGGTAGGAAATGAGAATACAAAGTGGACCCAGGATTGAAGGCTTTCGGGAACTATTCTGGCTTTCATCTACCAGGGACCTCTGTCTTCCACTGTCACTGGTGGTGGATGCTTAGATTCCCACAACACACAACAGCAGACTCCTTCTCAGAGTAGGTGAAATCTGCGCCCTGTGGTCTCCCCCGGCAGGCTTGGCACTGAAGGATTTAAGGAGAATACTCTGAAAGGGAGAACTTGAGAGTACATCTGAAGACTGTTCTGGAGATTTCTTTCCACACACAAATCACTGACTGTGGTAGAGAGAAGCACATGAGTTTGGAGTGGGCGCACACATCAAATCTCAGAGTGATGTGGCCGTATATGACCTTAGTGACCATTGGTCTATTATCTGTAGGACAGAATCGTCTCATGGGCTTTCAGTACACTTCAACTGTGAAGTTAATTGTGAACATACAGAAAGCTGGAAGAAGAAGAAAGGAAAAAAGCTTGAGTAGCAAAACAGAGAGAGAGAGATGTCATGTCTGTGCTACACCTAGCTTTATTCAAAGGTTCAAATGTGAGAACATGAGGATATTGTATCAAAACAGGAAACGCCACCCATTGACCCAATCCACACTATATTCTTCCTTAGGATTTGCCCAGTTTGGGGCATACTTGTATGCATGTGTGTACCTGCATGTGAGTTCCAATGGAAATAACCATTCATTGCTGCAAAAGGACTCTTTCACACTACTCCCTTCATAGTCATGTCCAACCCTACCCCAGGGGACCACCAATCACTTCTCCAGCTCTGCCACTCTCATTTGAAGGATGCTATACTAATGGAATCAAAGCTATAACCCTTCGAGACTGGCTACTTTCAATCAGTGTAGCAATGCCCCTGAGGCCCATCTAAGCACACACTAATGGGTTACATCTTTTTTCCTGAGCAGTGTTCTGCACAGGCTTCTTGTGAGCATCCCACAGAGGATACAAAGATGCCAAGGGCACAGTGCTTAGGGCATAGCAGATCTCCTGTCCTGGCAGCAGTTCCTGAATAGAAAGAGCAGCCTGAGAGGTAATCTCCAGAGCCAATGAATCCCTACAGCCTTCCTTTTTTCCTTCCTTGTAAAGCTTGGTGGAGAGGCCTTAGCCAGTACTTCATCTTACTTTTAGAGCCAAGAATAATAATCCCAGAGAGGTGAGCAGGCCGGGAAGAGACCCCAGGTAATTTGCTCCCATCTCAGATCTTTCTTCTACGCTGTGTTTGCTTCTGGACCTGCAGTTGATGCCAGCTGTCCAATCTCCTGCATGGCCCCAGCTTGTCTGCAGAGCACTTTGCAGGGCGTCACTCAGGAGCAGTGGTCAAGTTGGTGTGGAGAGGCAGGATACTTGGCTTCCTCTAGACATCAAGACCCCATGAGGAAAAAACCTTCAGGGCTAGATCTGGTGACATTCATATGTGATTCCAACACTCATAGGGCAAGATGGGAGAGAAGACTTAGCCAACCGGCTGGGAGCATGCAACACTGCCACAGAACAAGAGAGATCCCACCTCAACAAGATAGAAGACAAGAACTGACTTCTGAAAGGGATGAG